CTCTCTCTCTCTCTCTCTCTCTCTCTCTCTCTCTCTCTCTCTCTCGCGCTCTCTCTCTGTCTGTCTCTTTACACACAAATCCATATATAATATCACGAGTTAGATATTCAATTGCTACTATTATCTAACGCGCTTCGGATAACTCTTGATTATATGGTACACACACGCACGTACGAACGCGCGCGCAAATAGCCGGCATACCCTGCAAGTGCATAGAGCACATGGGCTGAATCCAAATGGTGGAATGTATGGATGCCACGACGTGCCAGCAGCGTGCCATGTCTTGTCACCTTCGAAGTAACAGCCACTCGTGTCGACATCACCCTCCATATGCTCTAGAGCAGCATCGTCTGGTACAGATGACATCAACATTATGACACACGCACAGATTAAAGTGATAACGTCACCGTAAATAATAAAATAAACAAAATTATGTCCCCTTTTTCACAAAATGTAGGTGATTCTGTTCACGTTTTATGGTTAAATTGCTGCATTATACTTCCTTTTTTGCTATTCCGTTCGATTTGAACAAACACTCGTGACTCATACATAGCCCATAGCAAGCATTCGCAGCATAACCGTGATGACATCAAAGTCTCGTCAAAGTACACAGTGGTTTTATTCGTTACATTTGTTGTGCGTCTTAGAAACGTGATTACGCTGAAACACGAAACTCTGTTCGCACACAAGCAGTCTTGTTGTTTTTACTAAAGCATCAACGCCGCGCGATTGTGCTTACATCCATTCAAGTTTATGGATGCTGAAACTTAATGGAAGACCTTGGATAGATACTGATGATGTCATGATGATACACGCCGCCGGCTAGACACGTGATCGCATGCGCTTATATTTATTAAACGCTCCCGAAATCAATGAGGATTGCATGTAAGAGGAAACCGCGCCCACGTTATCACTGACACTTTTGTAAATAATATTATGTGATTGTCATTACCTGCACACGTCGGACAGCAGCCATCTTGGATTTGAAGCTGTGCCTCGCAGGCTAGTGTCGGGCACATGATAGGGTCGCATACAACTTGTCCCCTCTGTACGCAATACGCCCACATTAGCATTTACAGTTATCAATACACACTCGTTAGTATTCACAATTATCAATATATGCTAATACTCGTTATCATTGGTGGTCGGATTCCCCGGACTCATGAGGTTAAGCCTCTAATGAGTAACAAAAAAAACAAAAACAAATTTGCGATTATCAATACATGCTCGTTAGCGTTTGCAATTATTAATTAACAGTTAATTAATAATATTTATAAAATAATTAATATAAAATCGGTAACAGTCATATGTTCATTCACCGTCTAGCCGCTGCCTAATTACGTTTATATCACTCGTATTTCACCGTTAGTTCTCGCTAGACCTCTAAAACCTCATCGCTTTTAATTTATGCACTTGAAAGTAGCAAAACCCCGTATATTTTTTTAACCCATTTAAGAGTAAAATATATACCCCAAAAAACACGTGAGTGTCAGTATTATAGTGCTAACGGAATTTCGTTATTTTACCTACGCACACACGCAGAACACATTAACGCGACCACAACGTATAGACTGACTACTGTAGTATAATGAAAATATAAATACCAGCACATAGGTACGTGATAACAATAATATATTATCAGCTGCTAGTATAATACGCGATTTTACGTTGCACATGCGCGGTCACGTACCTGACAACTGCACATGACGCACGGGTCGCGGCTGGAGGGCCAGCTGGCGCCATCTTCGTGGTATTGGTTGTGGTGCATGCACGTGTAGTTGGCGACTTCGTCCAACTCGTTGTTCGTCACGTCGCTCTGCATGAGCAGGTCGTATTTGTGCTCGCAAGTGTTGGGAGCGCGAACCTGCGAACAGTGACCAGCAGACTCCCTCACACCATGCGTCGACTTTATTCGTCAGCAATTTGGCCTGCGCCAAGATTTTATTAAACTACCGCAGAATATATCGTTTGAAGCAATTGTGCGCATCGTCTTTATTGGTTAGTTAATTATCTCATTCATGCAGCTGCATGCTTTCAAGAGGGTCGATAATATTTGATACCGGTTATCTAGTTTGCTTCAACGCTAATGCGCTGTTTCAATGTATTTAAAGTAAAGATATGAAATTGCTATACTTGCGTCACTAACTTTTGTAATGTTTTATATCAAACTAAACTATTCTAATAATCATTATCATATTATTATTATTATTATTATTATTATTATTATTATTATTATTTGTTACTGTTATTATATACTCTGATTAATATGTACCTGTCCCCTAAGCTCACCACCAGGGTGCGCGACGCTGCTTACTTCCACGAACACCAGACCATCGTTAAGTTGAGCATATAGAGTTCTGGTCCGACCTGCAATGATGCCTGTGGCCTGTAGGGAACACAATACAACATATTTGCCGTTACAGGAGCTGAGTGATCGATCACACCACCGTGCACCCAATCATTACATAACAGATCGAATGGCATGTGATTACTAAAAAATACAACACAGCTAATAAAAATACCAACGAGGTTGGTTACCCAATGTCTTAACTCCCAAACGATAAAACGTGCAAACCTGCATATAAATGATTAAGTGTTTCACCGGTGAGTGTTTTTACAGAAATCGTTCACCATGTATATCTCGCAACGATTTAACACCAGCATCGCTCGCGTGAGAAATCAGCCCCCTCCCTCTCGCTAACGCAAAATGCCGCGCCAGTGCTGACCTTATTGCCCTTGAACTCAGCCAGCGTTCGCGTGTGTCCGATGTGTCCGTTTACGTCGGCAGACATCGTCGCCGTCCATCCGGCCGTGTCGTTGTCGGCTGCCGTGCCGTGCAGCTGCAGCTCGTAGTGAATGACGCACGAGTCATCGACGGACATCCGGGCCGTGCCGGATGTGCCCGTCAGGACGGCGCGCGCCATTCCTGACCCGGTCAGCGGAACCGGAAGTTCTGTGAGCGAGAGTGCGAGCGGTCACTATAATGGCGCAGCTAACTTGGCAATAGACGCGCAGATAGACGCGCGGATAGACGCGCAGAACTTGGCGACGCTATATAGCGCATGCGGGATCACATTAATAGAAGCATTAACATATTTAATGTTATATATATATATATATATTCCTTATCCTATAATACTCATTACATATATATATATATATATATATATATGTATACATGTATATAACATATTCTTAGTTATATATAACATATTTTATGTTATATTTGCTTGTTTTGTTATTCGTGTAATTGTTGCTGTTTTACTGATATATTGTCGTCGTTAGTGAACAACACACTCACCGGATGTATGATCATTCAGAAATTCGCCGACGATTCGTCCTCGAATCTCGCCGTCCGGATGCCGCTTCGTCGCCACGTTGACGAATAGCTGGTCCGTCTGTAAAGCCGCAACCTCTCTGCCGTTCTGCCTCCTGAACACACCCTCCGCCCAGCCATCGATGTACGAATCTAACACGTCGGTCACGATGCGAATCTGACCCGGCTTGTTCGTCTCTCCCTCAATCGTGATGGCGGTCACGCGGGAGCTGAGGCCGGTCACGTGGACGCGGTACAACATGGCGCCGTCGGGAGCCATCGTGATCGCTGCCACGCCGCCAGCACCTGTGGCTGACGCCAGCAGAGCGTTGCTGCCCGTGAGGGCGGCGCGGTATACTGGAAGGTACGGAGAAAAGCGAATCACACGTCGTGTATCCACGCACAGGACGTTACAGTTTATTTTCTGGGAAAACCGCGCGCGGGCAGGCTTAACTACGCTCACACGCACACACACACTCCCACGTACACGCACGCACGCACGTACGTACGCATCCAACGTGCACGTAGGCGTCCACGCACACACTTACGCACACACGCGCGCGCGTACACACACACACGCGCGCGCGCACACACAGACTCGTACACACGCGCATACAATATGCATAAGCAACAGCGTGTAACTTATGATATAAATTACCTTTGCAGCTCTGGTGCACGGTAACGGAGCCAGCTAACGTCTCTCCCTCGTCCGTCTGCGCAGTTAATGTCATTGTCACATGACCACGTGCTAGCCACCGCTGCTCCTGATGGGTTATACCTTCCCAACGATATTCAATAGTTTCCGCCTGCAAGAGTAACTCTGTTTTTTTAAAGCCCGCTAAATGCGTATAGTAATGTTCATACTATAGTCGTCACATACATATTGTCTATAAAGTTTTAAACATTCGTCTTATGTATTCACTCAGTGTTTGTTTACCTGTGGTTCAAAGCTAATCTGCGATGTTTTGATAACTTGCTGCTTGCCCTCCGTCTTTGAGAAAACCACGCTCGCCACGATCGCATCGTGCTGCTTCAAATATCTATCAAAGAGCCCTCTGACGGCAATGATGACGCCGAGAGAGTCTTGCTGCTGGGAGCTACGGAGCGAAGCCATCGCCAACGCACCACCGCTGAGCGGAGAGATGCGGCTGTCGCTCGGTTGCAAGTGGAGGATGGAACTGAATGTTTCTGTGGGAGGTAAAGCATACAATACGTCACAATCCATACACTGCTACCGAGCAGTTGTAATCGCTGATGGTGTATGCATAAATATAACTTAGATCCATCATTCTGTAAGTTACACAGGAGGCGCGAATACGCTATGGTTACTCGATCAATGCCACTGTACAATCACATTATACATAAACCGAAACCCTTCGTCACCTTCTCTGCCGAATTCGTTAGGCCTTGGCTGTCCAGCTATCTCACCGTCCGGCTGAGCTATAGAGGTGACCACAACGTGGATATTGCCGCTCTCCAGGGCCCTTCTATAAATCGCCGGTACGTGCTCCCAAACTCCACATATCTGTTAATGGTAAATGTGAGTGAGTGAGGGAGACAGCACGAGTTACCATAAACACCTGAACGAAATATTACTAAGTGGAAGTGGTGTACGATAATACTACGAGACCATATTGTAGCCCTGGTATCTCGTTGTTACTCTAACTCGTCGGTCTAACAGCGACAGGTTCGGAGATGTGACAATGAGCCATCAGCTGTTTATGGCGCAGTAACCTATTTCGCATTGCCACAATATATATAGAGACGGAAATCTCTGTACATAGACAGGTATTTCTCATAGCGTATGATCATGCACAGAATCTTTGCGCAAAATTATAATAACGAAGAAGAGGAATATACCTGCGAAAAGCCAACTGTCTCAGTTTCTATAAGATGCTCGTAAAGAATAGCCGTGTCATCGTCGTGGAACTGGATAGAGATTGGTGAGTATAGTCTGGAAAATTATGATAGACATAAGCGACATAAAATACCTCACGAGTATATAACCTTATTTTCAACGCGACGCGTCCGCTAGTATATTATGACAACTTCATAGTATAAAAAAAGGACTCAGACAATATTAAAACCTTTTCTTCTATTCTCTGCACTCCCCACTTTCTCCCCGTCTCATCATCCCTTTCCCCCTCTCTACCTTCTATATGCATAGCATATATACTGCATATTAAAACAAAGACAATGCATAGTATAATCGGTATACCTCTCGATGACAATGCTGAAATGCAAGGTCGACTCTTTCATCGTGATGTGTCCACGTCCGATCGCGCTGGTGGTGACACCTGCTGGCTTCACCGATGATCCGGTGAGCAGCACGAAAAACACTGGAGAACCATAATGCACAATCAGTAAGACGCGAATTATATATATATATGTATATATATATAATATAATATATATTATAATATAATATAACATAATATATGTTATATAAATACTATAACTATCTAACCGAATTATTAAACGAAGAAATAAATTAATAAATTAATAAATTAATATATGTTGAAGATGGCTACGTGATCAGTTAGATGCTATTTATCAATGAGCGTGCACATGTGCAACCAACAATACCTCTGCATTTCTGACAGCAATCTGTAGGATCTTCCCGGTACTGATGCGCAGCGTCACAGGTTAGGGTTGGGCACGCAATCCTCGTACAGCTCGCTGACCCTGTGCTTCCCTGCAGACGAGAAAAACGCGCACGCATCATATATAACTGACGGTTTGGATCGACCGTTGCTGAAAGCGGATTACGTGTAACGTCACTGCGGGCTGCTGCACATGGGATGCCGCGGGAGAAATGATTAGCGATTGCGTTGATGAAATGGTTATTATGTGACTAGGGTGCATGATGCTCACTGGGGGTAACTGGGTGTCACTGGGTGTCGCTGGACGCAAACACCTATAATGTCTGCGAAGTGCGCGGTTATTTTCTGATTGTGTATTATTCTGCTTGGCTTCTCCTTATATATGTATTTGTTCGCCTCCTATCTCTCACACGCTCTCTCTCTCTCTCTCTCTCTCTCTCTCTCTCTCTCTCTCTC